GGGTTCCAGGGGCTCACCCTGAGAAATAAAAATATCCCTCAAAGAACCCGTTTTGGCCCATTCTCCCCCTCAGCTTAAGGGGGTTCCAGGGGCTCACCCTGAAAAATAAAAATATCCCTCAAAGAACCTGTTTCGGCCCATTCTCCCCCTCAGCTTAAGGGGGTTCCAGGGGGCTCACATGGAGCACCGAAAATATCCTTAAAATCCCACATTTACCCCCAGTTATCCCTTCAGTCTGAGGAGATTCTGGGGCTTCCCCCTGAAAACCAAAAATACCCTTTAAAGAACCATTTCAGCCCATTTCCCCCCTCAGTCCACACATTGACCCCATGGGATTCCAAGGTCTCACTTGGAAAACCAGGAATATCCTTAAAAAAACCACATTTCAGCCCATTTTCCCCCTCAGCTCGTGGGGATTCTCAGGGCTCACTCGGAAAACCACAAATCTCCCTAAAATCCCGTATCTAAGCCAAATTTTCCCCTCAGCCCGTGACGATTCCAAGGTCTCTCTTGGAAAACCAGGAATAATCCTTAAAAAAAACCCCCCATTTCAGCCCATTTTTCCCACCAATCCAATCCATTTCAGCCCATTTTTCCCACAAAACGGCAGCTCGAGGAATGTTGAAAAAAAAATGGGATTTCAGCGGCGGCGGATCGGGATCCTCCGGGAAACTCCGGAGCTTTCTGGGGGAAAAAAACTCCCCTTTTGGTGAAAAAACCCTGCTGGCAAGTGGGAAAAGGAACACTCCATGGCCAAGATGTGGAGGGAGGAAGGAAAATCCTGAATTTGCCTCATTTGGCCTTAATTTGATGCCGGTGAAGCTCCGAAATGGTGGTGGTGGTTTTAACCAAAAATCGCGTTTCCGATCCCATTTCTTTGGGAAAATCCCGCTGGAGAAGCAAGAAGGAGTTTGGGGTTTTTAATGGTGTTTCTGGGGGGTGAAATCCGATTTTATTGGGGTGAAAACCTTCAAATTCCTCTTTTTGAACTTCAGTTTCACCGATCTGGGGGGTGGGGGGTGGGGTGGGACTCATTTTTGCAGCTTTTCTGGGGAGCTTTTGTGGAATTTGGGGCCTTTTTTGGCCCTTTTTTTGTGCCTTTCCCGCCCTTTTCTGCACCGTTTTTGCCTTTTTTCTGCCCATTTTTATTCCCTCGCTCCTATTTATGCCTTTTCTGCCCCTTTTTTGACTCTTTCTGCCCCTTTCTATTCCTATTTTTGCCCCTTTTTGTGCCTTTTCTCTCCCTTTTATTCCCATTTCCCCCTTTTTAATGTATTTTCTTCCTCTTTTAACCTTTTTTGGCCTCTTTTAATTCCTATTTTTTGCCCCTTTTTATGCCTTTTCTACCCCTTAATATTCATTTTCCGCATTTTATGCCTTTTCTGCCCCTTTTAATTCACACTTTTGCCCAATTTTATCTGTTTTCTGCCCCTTTCTGACGTTTCCTGCCCCTTTTTATTAATTTTTGTGCCCATTTTTATGCCTTTTCTGTCTCTTTTTTTTGCCTTTTATTCCCCTTTTTCCGCCTTTCCCACTTTTTCCTGCAGTGTCTCAGGGTCCTTCTGCGCCTTTTACACCCCATTTTCCCACTATTTTTGTTGCTGCTTCTCAGCACTTTTTGGAGCCTTTTTGTGCCTTTTTTTTTTTTCCCTCATTTTTGCCCCATCTGGGAATTCTTTCCCCATTTTTCCACCCTCTTAAAAGTTCCTCCAAACAGGGCTTTGCCCCCAATTCCAGCAGGGACTTCCCACGGAGCCCAAACCCCCCCAAAATCCTCCAAATTACCCCAAAATCCCAATTATTGACGTGAAAAAAGTGCAAAAAACAACGGACTGAACCACAAATATCCCAGTGGGATCACCCAGAGCTGGAAAAAGAGCAGGAAAATGGGTAAAAATGGGGGAAAAGTGCACATTTTGCTGACACTGAGGGGGAAAAAAAGGGTAATTTTGAAGGTAAAATCCTCCCAGTGTTTAAAAATTATCAAAACTGGCTAAAAACTGAATTCAGAACCAAAACAGGGCAAGGAAATCCCCCCCAAAACGAGCCCCCCCCAAACCCCAAAATGTGGGATTTGGGGAAAACTCCCCCAAGTGCCACCAGGGAGGGGATTTTTGGGGCTTCTCACAGCCCGAAATTGGGTTCAAAAAGCCCCAAAAAAGGGATTTTTCACCCAAGTCGTGGGTTTTGAACCCAACCCTGGAATGAAAGGATGGAAAAGCAGCAGGAAAAGGGGGAAAATTCCAGCTGGGAAGGGGAATTTAGGGCACAACACCTGCGAATTGGGTTGGGTGAGGGGCCCTGGCAGAACCCAAATCCTGGGATTTGAACCCAAAGTCCCAGGATTTGAATCCTAAATCCAAGGATTTGAACCCAAAATCTCAGGATTTGAACCCAAAATCCCAGGATTTGAACCCAAAACCCCAGGATTTTAACCCAAAATCTTGGGATTTGAACCCAAAATCCAAGGATTTGAACCCAAAATCCTGGGACTTGAACCCAAAATCCCGTGATTTGAACCCAAAATCCAAGAATTTGAACCCAGAATCCCGGGATTTGAACCATAAATCCCAGGATTTGAAACCAAAATCCAAGGATTTGAACCCCAAATCCCAGGATTTGAACCCAAAATCCCAAGATTTGAACCCAAAATCCCAGGACTGGAACCCAAAATCCCAAGATTTGAACCCTAAATCCAAGGATTTGAACCCAAAATCCTGGGATTGAACCCAGAATCCTGGGATTGAACCCAAAATCCCAGCATTTGAATCCTAAATCCTGGGATTTGAACCCAGAAAAACCTCCCCCTCCCCCCCAATAAAGGGGATTTCTGGGATTTGGGGGATTTTTAACCAAACCCTCGGGATTCGAAGGGAAAAGGGAGTTGAGGGAACACCCTGGGCCCCCAAAACAGGGGAGGGGGGGCAAAGGGAGATCCCCCCCAATGAGGCCCTGGATTGGGGGGACCCCCCTCATGTCCCCCCCAAATAGTCCTGGATTCATCCCCCCAAAATTGGGGGTACCCCTTGATTACCCCCTTAAAACAGGGGGGACCCCAAAAGCAGGGGAGGGGACACCCCCACAAATCCCCCCAGGTGGGGGGGCTCGACCCTCAATTCCCCCCCCAAACCTCCCCCTCAAACGGGGGTGACCCCAAAAACCCCCTCAAAAGGGGTGACCCCAAATCCCCCAAACGGGTGTGACCCCAAACCCCCCTTCAAAGGGGGGTGACCCCCAAAAACCCCTCAAAGAGGGGGGTCAACCCCAATACCCCCCAGGGGGTCACTGCAATCCCCCCTTAGGGGAGGGGTCACCCCAACCCCCCCCACACCCACTCGAGGGGGGGTCACCCCAATAATTCCAAAGG